TTCCAAGTTTGTTCCTCTTCCAAACAGGGGTCTTTCTTGCCAAAAAAAGATGCCAGGACAGCAAGACTCACAGCGATCGTGCCTACGAGCAGAAATGTTCCCAGGTCTTTGAATATCAATCGCCAGAGGCGGCTTGAAAGCAACAGAAAGCAAGCAGTTTAGATGGTGTCTGAAGTTTTCATGAACTGTTGCGATCTGTGGCTGTGGAGAGAGTGAGAGACAGCAGTGAGGGAAAGAAGGAGAGAGATTTAGACAATTTATATATAGACCCCTTCTTCTCGACTGGAGGTCCGCAAGATGCATGCAGCGCAAAAAATGCAAGAAAAGAAGGAGGAGTGTATTGTTACTGAGTAGTCCCACCAAGACGTCTTGCATCAAGCATGAAGTCTCTCCAAGATGAATGGTGGTTGTCCGGCTTGTTCTTCCCCAGACACCGCCAAGATAGGAGGAAGAAAGTGTTCTCAAGCGCCGGGCAAATGCCTTCTACAGGCAAGGTTGGGTGCGAATTGCGGGCATGGTTAAGAGCAACTGTTTTGTTCGATGTAGACGGCATCATCACTTCAAGAGACTTTGACCTGTCAATGACCTGCCCAGCCAAACAAACTGATTTAGGGGTGGGTCGTTCAACCTGGAGCCCTGGTCCAGATAGGTCAACCAAGGTATCCTGACCTGGTTTTGACCCATCTGCACCCCAATCACCTTCCTGCCGACATGCACTTCGCTGCCCAGTGACTTGTTTGGCCGCTCCGCTGCCTACGACAACCAAGAGGCGTGCGGGCTGATTGACTTTGGCTCAATGTGCCAGTGAAGCTAGAGGGGCTTCGGACGACCAAAATCAGGCTAAGGCAAAGTTGAGCATCGCAGGATGCCAAACTCATGCACAATCAGCCCAAGATAAACGTCCACAAGATATTCATTGCACGCTTGTAACCCTTCATCATACTTGACTTTCCCCAGACGAGTGCGAACTTCCACGGTAGATGCTCCAGCTTAATTGGCCACTACCTTTTACAAATGTGTTTGCAGCAGGACGGCATGATCTAGGGGCTTTTGGTATGTTGAACATGTTTTGAAACCTGTTTGGGCTACGAAAGTGAACATGAAGGGCAAAGACCACGGGATTTCTAGCATTCAGCCTCTAACCGCCAGCAAGATGCCCAGGCTTTTGGTTTCAGACTGTACAGCCTTGAGCCATTGTTATCTGTCACATGAGGGCATGTTGTTGCAGTTGAGTTTGCTGTGATGCAGGCTATGTTGTCAGCTCGAAGGGGAAAGAATCGAACTTCCCATGAGGAGCACCTCATTGTTCATCAGGACCGTTGAACATGTTCAGTGTGCTACTCGTACGACTAGAGTAACAGGGAGCCACCAAGACTTTGGTGAATTAAGACGGTTGTTTGAAGTGGCTTTCATTTGTTGTGCCTGCAGTTCCAGGATTGGAGCGACTGCCGAACTGAGCTGCTGCCAGGGGCCCGCAAAGGGCAGGCCCAGTGTCATCCAATGCGATCTTTCTTAAGATGGACACCCAAGAAAACTGCATCAAAGAGTGTTTCTCGCGAATGTTCCAGATGTTCCAGTGCTGTTTGCCCAAAAATGATATGGCCATTCATACGATATGGGGTCTTTTTAGTATATATATTCTTTTTTCATGGCGCAGCGGGAGCTTTCAGCCGGTTTCTTCCAGGACGCTACGCCACAAGTGCGCCGGAGCGAAGAGCTCCATCAGGCGCGTCGAACGTCCTGCGTCCTGCGTCCAGCGTCGAACGGTCCCTGAAATCAGGGTCTTGTGAAGTGAAAAGCATCGTAAGATACACCTGTTTTGGTTTTCGGATTGAATTCGTCCTCCAATCTCCGGGGGCGATATAGGCCATTCATGTGACCATGACTGTATCAGGGAGTATTACTTCTACTATTCTCTTGGAGTTTTTGGACTCCAACGACATCCTTTTGAGCTTGGAGAAAGCTGTTCAGGCCCGGATCTTCGGCGAGGAGAATGGCAGCTGGAAGAGCCCTAGTAAGTTGGAAGCGGCTGGGAAGCCCAATGGGGCAGAGCCGAGAAAAGGGAGGTGGGAGAGTTTTCGTTTTTTTTTTGGCAACCAAAAGTCTGAAGACTCCTCCCAAAAAGCTCAGAATATTTTGATTTGCAAGGTACAGACAACATTCTATTGGAACTGGGTGGAGTTGGGCTGCGAAGGATGGATTCTGCCCGAGGTCTCTCACGACAACTCTGAGAAAATCAAGTACAGTGATGGCATGAGCACTCGTCAGCTGCAGCAGGCACGTGAAATCAAGTGGGTGGTGGCTGCAATTGTCAGTCATGCTGCAAGCAACTGTGCCAAGTTCCTGCTGAATGTGCATTGACTTTGGTCCATGCAGTGTAATGTTGGACAGGGGCATCTGAAAGCTACCCTCCAGTCTGACGACTTCTACAAGAATGCCAGCAACATCAAGGAATGGGAGGCGTTTCATGCCGCTCAATGCAGCTCCACATTTTGTCTCGTACATGTCCAAACCCAGCCTTTCATGGGATCTTCAGGATTGTCCACAACAAACAGAGTAATCCTCCTGGCTGTGGCATCCGGAAGTGCTAGGACAGAGATTTCATGGAGTTTGTTGACCCCATCAGCCAAAAAACTTGACAAAGGTCAAACTCAGAGCTCCAACCCAGCCATACTCCAGGTAATCGAGCTGCACGTCTCCGGCTTGCCTCATGATGCAGATGACGTGCCAACCCCCTTTCGGAGGTATTGTCATTCTCCAAAGTGTCAAGGCATTGCTTGGAGAACTGCTTCGTTGCACCTCCGAACTGCGCAGTTGCATGATGAAGAACGACGAGTCCATGAAACCAAAGTGGACAAAACATGGCTTGTGGACACACAGTTCTTGCACGTATCCCTGACCTTTGCAACACCTGGTTTTTCTAACTTCTCTTTTCCAGGCAAATGCAAGAGTAATCCGAGGAACAACGTGTTTGGAAGATTAGCCTCTGTCAGCTTGCAGACTCACGTTAACTTAATGCAGTGGATTTCAGAAGCCTTTCCACTTGGGCCCAATGGAAGCGTGCGGCCCTCACTTGCACCGTTTGCATCATAAGGTGATGTGGTGACACATAATTTTGAATCATTCTATCCACCGGCAAGAGAATAACGGGTTCCAAGATTTGGGGTTGTTTAGTATAACAGCATATATAACTTTCTTGAAGTTTGCCAACTGAGCTGATTTCTGAAGAACTTAATTAACAGTTTTGGACATAGCAAGCCATTCACCAATGTGAGAACTCCCAAGACTTGCCACCTGGCTTGGCCATTTCTGTGCCTAGGGGTGGTGCAGCACCGCCACCTAGCCCTCGCGAGGGTAAAGCCAAGGCCAAGGCTGGGTGATTTGGAAGAATATGGAGGCCATCGCTAGTAGGTTCCTGAAAGTCTTTCAGATCATATGAGGAGTCCCAGTCCTTTCATAGTCCCAGTCCTCATGTCCTCTCGTATCAAATACGAATATTTCAGATCCTGCAAAGGTCTAGTCAAGCCAAATATGAGGAGTCCCAGTCCTCTCCAGGGCGCAGAACCAAAGTTTCAGCACCCAGTCTGTCATGAGAAGTCTCCGTGTCTGTCTCGAGTGTTTCTGCAGCAAATTGAATGACCCAGTTGCGTTACATTGGGTCCTTCTTGCAGGGAAGGGTCATGCGATGCGGATATTCATGTTGCCGAGAATTCTGGTATATGACAAGAAGCCGAGCCAAATTCTGACGATCCGGCTAGGTTTTGGTGGTGGAGAGTGTTTTTCAATGATCGGTTTCTGTGATTCTGATTATCCGGCAACAGCAGTCGATGACTCCGTTCTTGTCGATGTGTGGCTCAAAATCACCATCTCAACCGACAGAGTTCAACCGTCAGAGTGCCAGGCCGTCGAGACTGGAGGTGCACGCCTTTTTGCTCCCAGCTACGATGCTAAGCCTTTTTGCGCTGCCACATTTTTCAACTAGATCTTAAGGTGATAGTTGTAGTATGTTGTAGTGTTTCGATCTAACTATGATGTGCTTCTGGCCCTTCTCCTGAATTCTGATTGCTGGAGTCTCTAAGCGTACGTGGACTCTTGTGATTGATGGAGAGCTCGTCAGCGAACGTGGCATGCTAGAGCTCCGCAGAGCTTGGAGGGATATCATGAGCCTAGCAGGTGCTGGGCGACTGCAGCAGATTTTTGAAAAGTGCCCAACAACACGATGTGGATTATAGGGTGGAGGTCATCGCTAGCAGGGTGGAGGCCATCGCTACTGGGGTGGAGGCCATCGCTACTAGGGTGGAGGCCATCGCTACTAGGGTGAAGGCCATCGCTACTAGGGTGGAGGCCATCGCTACTAGGGTGAAGGCCATCGCTACCAGGGTGGAGGCCATCGCTACTAGGGTGAAGGCCATCGCAATTAGTAGCTGGACTCTGCTTTAACAAGTGTTGGCTGTGGATGTAGAAGCACTCCTTGACTCCCGGCTTACCGAGATGGGGAGGTACGGCGGCCGGGGTCCTGCCATCCCACAGAAGTTAGCTGGCTCTCAGATGAAATGACCGGACTGGAGAGAGAAAGTGAAGTGAAGTGTTTGAAGGAGTCTGGAAGATTGTTTCAACAGCCAAATCTAGTTCTTTTGGTGATCTGTCATCCGGGTTTTCCAGGCGTAGGCCCAGGCGTTTTTTGGTGCAAGGCAGCCTTCTTGGGGCCAAAGCATGGTGATCGGTCCAGGCGCGGCTGATCGATGGGGCACTCGAGTCACTCGAGGAACTCTGAGCTTTTACCAAACTGAATGTGCAAAAAAGAGAAACATCATTGTCCTTTCAACCAGCAAGGGGTTATATATTCCAAGAGCAAAGGCGAGAGTAGCATGAGTTGAAGGCAAGATTTTGAGCAAGTGCTCAGGTCGAAGCAGAGCTGGGGCATCAGCCTTATTACTTTTGCATGTTTCAGGGACATTCAGGGACTTTCTCTGCATTGTCTGTCCAGCACCATGGAGCTGCATGCCAAGGCCGGGTTGGCCATGTGGAGTGCCCTGGCTGCAGCTGTGACTCCTCTGATTGACATGCGCGTTTCAGGGAGTAGATGGGATACTCTTCCACGTCACGATGGACAGAATCACAGCTCCATAGCGGTGGCTTGAGGTGACCAGCGTGTTTTCACCGCGTGCATCAACGTCTCTACTTAAGAAGAATCCAGGGATGTCGGGATGCACGAACAATGCATGTCGGATCTCTATTCAGTCAGTCATCCGCGGGTGAAATTGGACCCCTCAGGATTAGAGTCACTTGCTCCGTTCGTAGCGATGCCCGAAATGCTCCGTTCGTAGCTTCTTGTTACTAGTAATATGAGGCCAGGAGCCCCTAGTAGCGTCCCTGCTCCTATTGACTTTTTTCCCCAAACAGCTTTGCTGTGAGGGATTCTCAATTCTTGCATAGAAACGATGCTGGCCTTCGTCTCCCCTTGTCTCCCCTTGTCTCCCATGGCATGTCTGGATGCTGGGCTGAGATGATTTTGCTTTGTCTCCCCTTGCCTCCCCCTGCCTCCCACGTCTGGATGCTGGGCTGGGCTGGGGTCTTTGGGGTCGAGGCTGGTGTGATGGAAGTTTCTTGAAGTATGATTTGGACTTGTTGACCTGGGCAGCACTAGGCATCCTCAGCAAGCAGGCGGACCAGATCGTGGTTTTGGCGATGGAATCATGATCGCGGTATGGGCGGTGAGCAAAGTTTCTTTAGATGCTGAGCTGATCAATCAATAGCGGAATCAGCTTCGTTCGCCCTTTTGGGGAGTTGGTTTAAGCTGATCAGCTTCGTTCCTGTGCTAGGCTCATCCTCCATCAGCCCAGAGGTTCTGGCCGATCTCTTACATGAGGCACGGCGTATTTGGATGAGCAAAGAAGCAGGCATTGAATGTTGTCGGAAGGATAGGAGAAGGGGGGGGTATTTGGTAGAGACTCGGACAGGGTGAGCTTGAGCGAGTTCAAAGGTGAAAGCACAAAAAGCACGGTCTAGAAAGACGCATCGGAATGGTGCAGACCATGCCCGCACCCTTCTTGGCTCAGTCTAGAGTACTAGAAGCAAAGGTTGTACCGAGGTTGCGGATACTAGGACGTGGTTTGCTGCCTGTGTCTATCAGGGAAGCTCCAGGTGCTTGGATGTCCAGGGCCTCGACGTCGACGATTATCAACTTGGACGCGGTGCTTTTTCCTACTCCGAATATGTCACAGTCGCCTGGTTCCAGCACTGCACAGCATGTGTGTCGATGTGAGGAGCGTTGCGTCCTTTTCCATTCCAATTTTGGATGCGTGGAAGGGAAACACTGCGGATTCTGCCACCGGAATCATGAAGACATCGAGTTCACACGCCCCAGAAAAGCCAGACGCAGGCAGATCAGGGATCGGCTTTCTCACTACATCTGGACACACAACCCAGATGATCTGGATGTGCACGCATACTTGCAAGGGGAAGCTCGTCGCCAGCCCTATGCTCGATTTGTGATCCAAGCGATCTTGGACGGCATGTCGCAGCAACGGCTGCAACCTCACCGCAAGTTGTTTTGGATTTAGAGGTCGAAAGAGTCCAGAGCTTGTTAGACTCGTCCAACGGCCAGCGAGTGGGAAGGATCGAAGGAAAGCGAAACCGAGTGAGACACCGGGAAACCAAGTAGCGGCACTGAGTTGTCCGGTCTGTGTGCAAAATGCATACGAACTTTAATGGTATGCTGCAAGCGGAGTTGTGTGGAATGGTAGGTGCGTGTCCAACTTGACTTAGGACCCGCCTGCTACGGTCCAGTTTCTGCATATGCCATCGAGGGACTCAAGTCCACATCTGAGGTTGTAGGTGTTCCATATATTGTCTCGCATGCAGAAGCAAAGCCGCCCCACCCAATGTTTTGCAGCTGTGCGCTAGTTGAGCCTGCGTGATTTGGGTCGAGACTTGTTCAGAGGGATCATGTCCTACATAGGTCTCGGGAGGGCTCTAGACCAGCGCAGTTAATTGAACTTAAGCTCTTGGAGCTACAATCGCCTTGGCAAAAACCGTTCCAGAGACAAGGCTTTTTGGAGCTGCCTCCTTGCTGTATCAGATCATGTATTTTGATCGTGAAAGACATTCCAGTCTGAGTTCCGTCCATACTGTTTTGTAGGTGCTAGCTGCACAAACGTACTTCTCCCACACTTGGAGGGATTTGCAAGGAGGCAGAAGCGGCGACAGTGTGCCGTTGAATCTTCTACATAGCATGCAAATTTCGAACTGAACTTTAACTTTGAAGAAACAGGAGAAAAAAAAGCGCTCTGCTTTCTGATTGCGCCTTTAGCAAGACAAGCAGGGCTGCAGCCGGCCACTCTTCAGTCTCTGGTCCTAGAGCTAGAGCTTGTTGGATCCAGGTGGAGGGGGGCGATCGCAACTCCCTTTGGCCAAGGGCTGAATGAACATGGGAAGCAAACGAATCGGAGAAGCTTCAAACCCAGAAATGATGCAGTTCGTAGTCTGCAAAAGCTTTCAGAATCAGAGATTGCATGGCTACTCTGCACACTTTGCAAGGCTTCCCTGAGAATGTTTATCGTTTAATTCTGCGATGTATTCTTTCCTACATGTGTTAAGTTTCTGTTCAGCACCAGGCCGCGGTGCAATAGGATGCAAGCGAAACAGGGTACCATCACGAGCAGGGTCAATTCGCACCTGTCCTTGGCAACCTGCTTTGGGATTCTCCTCCATTCGTCTTGGCATCAAACACAGCAAAGGATTTTGAAGAACAGGTCATGCAAGGTAGCAACAGACCACCTGAGTTCTCCTTGCTGTAGCAAGAAGGTTCATTCACCTGCTTTCTGGCGTTTCTTCATGTTGGGGGTGGCCCACTGCTAGATGCTGCTCTTCTTTCTTCGCTCTGTTTCGCGAAGCTAGGCGTTTTTGGTCTACTTTTGTGGGAACCACACGCGCGCAGCGCGCACCCAGCTACCCAGTTTGTCATAGACAGGCGTTCCCAGAAGTGAAAATGGACGTACCGCTGCAGCGCGGCAGGTCTTTGGTGCAGTCGTACCGCTGTGTTGCTGCGCTCTGTTGCTCTCCTGCTCGCTCTCCTGCTCCGGCTCCTGCTC